AGGTGAGGGGGGAGAGGCAGTGGGGGTACAGGTGGGGTGATGTATTGGTACACCTGCATTGTCTACAGATACATGCTGAATCAAGGTGTGTGTGTGTGTGTGTGTGTGTGTGTGTGTGTGTGTGTGTGTGTGTGTGTGTGTGTGTGTGTGTGGTGACTTTACTGAATATTTGACAATGTGCTTAACTATGTTCCGTTTGTGTGTCTGTCTGTCTGTCTAATCTGTTTATATGTCTGTCTGTTTGTTTCTGTCTGTCTGTTGGTCTCTTACTGAAACAGGATTTTATTATTATGAATTCTCTTTTGTTTGGTGATTTTATATATTATTATTTATATATGTCTGTCTGTCTTTGGGCTTTGTGTATGCATCTGTCTATCTGTCTGTCTGTCTGTCTTATCTTCAACCATTGCTGATTCTAACTCATTAGTTTAACACAGTGACCTGCGTGTAATAAATCACCTCGCTTTTAGACTCACTATTTCCCAAGACCGTGTCAGATTTTGGCGTTAGTGTGTCAGATTTTGGCTCCAGTGTGACAGATTTTGGCTTCATTGTGACAGATTTTCGAACACTGTGACAGATTTCCCATCACTGACAGATTTTCCAACACTGTGACAGATTTTGGCTTCTCTGTGACAGATTTCCCAACACTGACAGATTTTTGGTTCCACACCGTGAGATCAATCACTCTCTCCTGAATGTCTTTTAAATTGTCAGTTTTTTTTCTTCTATTTTTGTGGAGGAATTAAATTTATTCTTTGACCAAGGTTGGGTAATATATTGGCAGTTCTTGAGTTTGTTTTGGTAATTATTTTTGTATTTTTTATTTGTTTTTGGTAATTCATTTTGGATTTTTTATTTGTTTTTGGTAATTCATTTCGGACTTTTTCTTTGTTTTGGTAATTAATTCAAGGCGCTTTTCCTTGTTCGACTGTCCATTCGTCCGTCTGTTCGTCTATCCATTCTATTATCCGTCTTTCCGTCTATCCATTCGTTTATCCATCCATTCGTCTGTCCGTCTGTTCGTTCGTCCGTCAGTTCGTCCATTCATTCGTCATCACAGGTCATTTAGCTTCGTATTTAACCTCACATATCAGGTAATGAAGCTCTCTTGACACATAATTGAAGCTCGAAGGTAAAATGTCAAGAAGCCTAAAAGGTCAAAGGTCAATATCACCAGAACCTGTCGGGATAAAACTTGTATTTGACGCGTCGAGTGCGTAGAAGACTGAAGAGTCAATGGTTTTTTTATGTCTAAGCAAGTTTTTGGAAGTTCCAACAACTTGTCCCTGAATACGAATTCGCAACTTTCGACTTACACCAGGTACCTACTTTACTGCTAGGTGAACAGGGACTAATGGGGGCTAGGAAGAGTGTCCAAACAACTTCCACCGACCCGGGAATCGAACCCGTGACATCTTGCTTGCGAGGCAAGAACGGTACCGCTCTATCACCAGCTCCCCTACTCCCTTAATTCATGAGACATAAAGGCAAGCATGAACTTAGCATGCTTCCCTGTTGGGCGCTGTAAACGCTTCTGTGCTTCACCTTACACAAGGATGCTGCAGGGGGGTGCCCCCCCTCCCCCCCAAAAAAAACTGACGCGTCATGACCGAGAGATATTTGAACATTGTTTAAGGCTGCAGCGATATGTTAAAGTGTTCCGTGCAAAAAAAAAAAGTGATTGGACAACTGAGGTCATGAGGGTCAAGTTCATGGGTCAAGGTCATGGGTCAAGGTCATGGGTCAAGGTTATGTGTCAAGGTTATGTGTCAAGGTTATGTGTCAAGATTATGTGTCAAGTGCATATGTCAAGGTCATGTGTCAAGGTCATGTGTCAAGGTCATGTGTCAAGGTCATGTGTCAAGGTCATGTGTCAAGGTCATGTGTCAAGGTCATGTGTCAAGGTCATGTGTCAAGGTCATGTGTCAGGAGTCATGTGTCAAGGTCATGTGTCAAGGTCATGTGTCAGGTCATGTGTCAAAGTCATGTCAAGGTCATGTGTCAAGGTCATGTCAAGGTCATGTGTCAAGGTCATGTCAGGTCATGTGTCAAGGTCATGTGTCAGGTCATGTGTCAAATGCGTTCGAGATGATGTGTATGACAAATTAGGTGTTTTTGTTTTGTGTTTGTCTTGTGTTACTGAGAGATTTGCCATCGTGTACAGGAGAAAGGTATAGTGTTCTTGTTACACCACACACACACACACACACACACACACACACACACACACACACACACACACCACACACACACACACACACACACACACACCACACACACACACTTTTATTCCTACCACATCAAAAAATAAATAAGACAATAAATAAATAATCTCAAACAAATGTAAACAACAAACAAACATAAATAAATAAATATCACAAACTCTAAAAAAAAAAAATCATTTCCACTTCAGGTCATCCAGTCGCCATGGGCAAGGACCTAACAGAGTCATTAAACCAGATAACTTTCACGCAGTTATTGTACTCAGGTCTTAACG